ATATATATATATATATATATATATATATATATATATATATATATATATATATATATATATATATATATATATATATATATATATATATATATATATATATATATAATTCATATCCGTACTAAATACTGGCATAAGGCACAAAACGAACAGATTGGTGTGAGAGGCAATTATAGCCGAATTGTTTTGTACTGTATAGGTAGCTGGGATATCTCAATGGATCGATTCAAGACTGGTCGAAAAAATTCATGAGTTGGTACAAGATGGCGTTCGACAAGTGAATGAGGCTAAACGTCACCTTAGAGTTTTCGTCAGAGATAGCTTATTTGTTGGATCTTCAATGCCTCCTAAATCAAACAAAAGATTTTTTCCAAGTGCGAAAACAATAAGAAATCACATGAACCTAGCAATAATAAAACAGCGACATTCAAAGGTGGACTAAGAAAATCTCATAGAAAAAACAAAAGCTTGGCGTAGCCTAAACGAAGGCGACACTGTTGAATTCCGTCCATATATGAACACGGAGGTTGTGGAGAACCAGGAGCATGAAGAAGATATCGACGATAAAAAGAACGATGAAGAGAAAATATTAGTTGACGATGGTGAAAAAGGTAACGACGAGGAAAGCGAAATAGAAGGCGAAGAAGAAATATTAGTTGATGATGGTACGCTAAACAAAGGCATGTTATTCGTCTACCAAACTCAATGGCAGAAACGTCTTCTTAACAGATATGGAAATGAGTTATGCCTGTTAGACGCGACGTACAAAACGACGAAATACTGTTTGCCACTGTATTTTCTTGTAGTGAAGACCAACGTGGAATACAAAGTAGTTGCAACATTTGTAACACAGTCGGAGACCACAGAGGCAATCAAGGAGGCTTTGTCTGTAATCATGAAATGGAATCCCAGCTGGAAGCCAAAGCATTTTATGGTGGATTACGCATTGGAAGAGATTTCATCCGTTGAACAACTTTTTCCAGGTACACAAATAAGATTTTGAATAACGGTAATTGGATAAGAGTGAATGGTTAGCTATTTATTTCATGTTATAGAAAAGGTTCCAGCAGTGACTATACTGTTATATAAAAAATATCAAATAAAATGTACTGTTCGACAATCAAAACTATAAAAGTACGCATGCAAATACGATTGAAATAAAATTAACAAAATAGGTAGGGGCCTGTGGCGCAAATTTAAGTAATTTCATATTTTTCGTAAATGTTTCAATTTTGTTGGAAAATCGGGAAATATAATTACAAATTCCAACAAAAATGTTATAATTATAACATAAATTTTCTAATGAATCGACATTTCAATAAACGGTTTAAAAGTCATAGCAATATACCAGTTACTCTAAGAGAGTCATTGGAAAATATTTTTGAAGTGCATCATATTGAAGAATAAGAGTTTTGTATGCTTTATTAGATGTTATCATGTTTTATAAATAAGCCGTCCATTTATGGCCTATATTTTACAGTCATCCGTCATAAAATCATTTGAAAGTGTTGGAAATTTGCGAAGTTTTGCCTTTCTACCTCGGAAACTGTATTTCTGCCACTGATACTGAGTGATAGCGCCTATATATATGCAGCTGCATATAAGTTAACCCTAGTTAACTATGTAATGTAAAGTGTGAGTGATCATGGTAATACTAATTAGTGACATGTATTTAACTACTATAGAATGCTTGGTATTAATCTGTGATTTCCATCAAGAACAAGCATGGGGCAGACGGCTCTCAAGAAAGACCAATGGCATGGCTCATTTGAAAGAAAAGGCGTTAGCGGCTATGAGAAAGATTGCCCGCGCAAGGACAGAAACGGAATTTTTAAAGGAAGTGGAATCGCTCAAACAAGATGAAGATCTGTGGTCAAACAGTATGTACAAAAAGTACATGGAGAATATGTGGCTAAAGGAGCACAAGGTTGGTTTTGCTAAAAAATTGCAACAAAGGATTTTGATCAATAACATTAGATTGGGCACTTGGAAAATTCGGCGTCTAAACTAACTCATTAACGCACAATGCGCCCGTATGCGCCCTGGAATAGGCAATGGGGTAACGGACAATGCGCCCGAAACGACACGCCATTTTCATTGGCCAATAATAAGAGATATGCATTTCGCGTTGCTTAGCAACGTGCACCTATAAAAACACCCGAATCCACTCTTTCAAAAGAGACCTCGTGCAAGCTTGTACAGTTAATATTGTTCAAGTTACGAGCGTTTTAAAACACCTTTCTGCGATTTTTTTTAAATATGGCTGAAGCACTTCGTATGTTCGACAGTAGTGAGGACGAAAGCGATTTTGAGGGGTTTATAGTCGGCGAAACGGTTGAAGAAACTCGGCCTATAACAGCGGGAACATCGGCAGTTTCATGGAGAGACATAGCGGGCGATTCGGACGACGATGAAGAGGACTTTCACGGTTTTTCTGACATCGAAGTTCAAGAACTCGACAGCAACAGTGTGAGCGAAAGTGGAAGCGAGATAAGTGCCGATGATTTTGATGATATTTTTGAATGGAAAGATAATTTAAGTAGTGTTAGTGTTGAAGACTTTACTGCCGACTTTGGTCCTCGACATGGCTTGGATTTAGACGCTTCCCCTAAGGACTTTTTCGACTTGTTTTTCGGCGATGCGTTTTTCGATCTCCTTGTGCATGCTACAATTTCGTACGCCCGTTCAAAAT